ATAATATATACTAAATATATGTACAATTATTTAAAAGTTCTGGAGACCTTTGCCCCTGTCCATCTAAGATTACTTTTTTCTCTGCATAACACAAAGGGTTAGTACGTTAGTATCGTGCCAGATTGGGCTCATATTTTGTAGTGACGTAAATCCAGAATCATTTTATTGACACTGATAAAACAGATGGCTAAACCCAAGCTAGACAGAACTGTAATTATATCTGCAGTGTTAGAGGTGAAGGTATGTTATTAAAACATTTCCCTCTTCTCTTTGAATAATGTGTAGGTCTTGCAAAATGCAAGCATCATACTGAAAATATCAAATGTCACTCTGGCTTCTGGATGGGAAAAAGTATATGGTGCAAAAGGGAATATGCACAGAACGACTATGAGAGCTCCTAATTAGCCATTATAGGATTCCATTAATCTCTTCAATCGACTAAAAGAATTATAGTCATTGAAGTCTATTTGTCTTAAGATGGAAAGAAGGCTTAACCAAAGCCTTTGGACTGACAATAGAGCAAGGAAAAGCATATTCTGTGCATCTAGCTACATCTGTTGGTTTTCTTCGAGAAGGTTGCAGCCATCTTCAAATAACGCCGTGAAAGCAGATATCATTCAGGAGTGCTGGGTATATTAGTACATATTTTACCAGAAGTCTGGCAAGCTGCCCATGGCTAAGCATGCACATACCCCAGCTAAAGTAAGTTGTGTTCTTGGGTGGGAGTTTGGAGTTGGAGGTCATGAATAGAAAAATATAGGCCCACATTACTTTAACACTTTTCTGTTCCATTGGTTAGTGTACTAGACTATATCTTACGTTCAGCTGCTTTCTTGTGGCTATCAGCAGGGGACAAGTGGGGCGTGCAGCCGGGGAGCAGCCACGTCCTGCCCAGCGGCGGACTGCCTGTCCCCTCCGGGCTGCGCGAGTCCCTTCGGGGTGGCCTCCGCCTGGCTTCTGCCCAGTAGCTGCCAGATCTTGCACGGTCGGTAGGACCACGTTATCCCAGCAGTTTAAAAGCTGGAAAGCATAAGCGTTTTTTTGAGTTTCTAACGTTTGTGGTTCTGATTTTAATCTTCCTAATATGAAACAGTTACATTTGCTCCAGCATGGTTTTCCGGAGTTTAAGGGCAGCTTCAGCAGCATCCCTCTCACCCAGTGAGCTCATATGTCAACAGTATTTCCTATTTAATTTATTTAATGTTTAATTGTTGCCCATGTTATCAAATAGGGTAGGAAACTGCACTGGATTAAGGCTTCTGGAGGGAGTTGGAAGTGAAAATGCAGAAGAGAAAAAAGGGAGGAGAAACAATAAAGGATAGTGAACAGAGAAGTGAATTAGCAGTGGCTATAAAGGTGGAGACATACTGCCACCATGCAGTGATGATGATAAAAAGAAAACTAACCATATTTTGCCGTGGATCTCTGGTGCAGACCCATCCTTGAAATTGGTGGGAATTCAATGGACCAGAGAGCACGTTATCTCTAATGTATTTTTTGGCTCACAGATCACAATTAAAATTAAATTCTGCCTTCTGCAAAATTAAATTGGACATACTGGTCTGCTGCAGTGAATCCTTGATCTCGGTTGGTCTCAGTTGAACTAGACTACTCAAGAAAAAAACCAAATGATAACTATGGAACTTTTCTTGTGAGAGTATGTGAAATTGCTATCATAGCACAAGTTATTTTCAAGGAAATCTAGGATGTATGGGTTACTCTTCAGGAGAGGAAAAATTGTTTTACAGGCTCTCGCTATTGACTGCTGTTCCTATAGATCATCCATTCAAGTGTCTTGGCTGCAAAAATATTAATACAAATGTTGTTATGAGATGATGATGTTCTCAATATTACATAGAATAAATGTTATCACTTAAATATTGTAAAGTGCCAGCATTTCTGCATGCTGCAGCTTTTTACTAAGATGAGCATGCACTTGTCAAATGTTTTGAATTCTGTATTATTCAGTAAATGAGCATGTGGTTAATTAAAGTAGCATTACTATACTGGGAGGTGATCAGATTGCAAACATATCTTTAACAATTGGCTCTTGTAAATAAAATAGAAGAGAGCTGATTGAGATCTGAAAATGTCAATAGATGCAAAAAGCCACCTTAGAGCGTTACCTGATAAAAGAAGAGTAGAGATGTAATGACATGGTCAATATTAACTGCCATCAGATGGAAAGAAATCAGATTGTCAGGGATCTATAAAATTCTTGCCAAAGTAGAACCTCATTTACACATACAGATCTTCATACCCTTTGCTAAGAAAAGCATATGTGACAGCTTAGAGGTTTTAGCTGCCAAAGATCTTTCACTCTGAATACAGTAAATGTCACATCTATTTATTTATCGTTAAATTTTGCTAAGTATCTGTAGAAATATTTGGATTTTTTCTATCATAATGTAGATGTTTAAAAGGAAAAGAATCCAGATTATAATGCAGCTGTAGTACCAAACCATATGGCTGCTAAATGGGAGCAAAAATACACCACTGAATTACTGGGAGTAAATATAAACTGGATACGATCTTCAGAAGAATATTAAATGGAATATATAAATACAAGAGTATTGCTATAAAATCATGCAATCAGACAATAGTAGCCATCAGGCACTAGATTATTTCACATGCTGAAAGTAATCACAGATGTATAGCAATTTACGTTTTCTAAATGCCAGACTGAAAATATTAACTAATGAATCTTGGCAAGCACAGTGTTTCTACCAACTGCAGTAGTGGTTATAAAAACATCTAGGTCTTTTTTGAGAGAGAGAAAGAGACAGAAATAAGGCAGCCATCCTACACCCCAGCTTTATTAGAATCTGTCCAGAGTCCCAGGTGCTCGAAACAGTCTTGTTTGTCTTTAATTCAATTCAAGCCTTTGACTTCTTTCTTTTAAGAAAACGTCTGTGGGTGATTTATTGGTATATGGGGTGGAATTTGCACTGTGCTGAGCAAGAACAAATGGTCCAGTGGAATACATATTCAATGTTATGAATAGTGTCTGGCATGAGAGAGAACTCAAATTAGTGAGGGTGTTGTGTTGCCTGTTCTTTTGCTCAGAGACAGTTTCATGAGAAGTCCATTTGGATTCTACGTCGTTGTGTAAAAAGGAAAAAGTTAATAACTTTCCGGAGAAAAGCCTGTGTCTCTGCTCAGTCTGGTAAAAACTTACTGGGGGCAATTGTCAGCTGTACTTTCATATTTTGGGTCTCTTCTGTTCTTTTTATACAATGTGGAAGGAGAGGAGGCCTCTTCATCCCATCCACAGCCATCTTCAAACTGCGAACAAGAACTAAATGATCCTTGAACTTCAGTTGGACTTTGTAAATTATCATCGTGGGGAATAGGCTCTCAGTATTCATAACTGCAGTGCTTAGAATTAGAAATATAATATGAAGTGTTTACCTCAAAATTGGCCAGATTCATCAAGATTTCTTATTATCACATATTGAACTAGCTGTGCCCCTGGGAACTCAGATCTAAGTGATATTGAGTGAAGACTTTCTCTCCTGAGTTTGTAGCTGAAATTTTATGTATGAGACAAATAGCAACTCTGAGTATCTCTTTCTTTCTACAGATGATATGGAAGCAATTCCAGTCAAGCAGTTTGTTAAACACATCAGTGAGCTGTATTCTAATAACCAGCACGGGTTCTCAGAAGACTTTGAGGTACGATTTAATAATCCACCAATAAAATGTTGTTTTCCTAAAGTTAATTGTGTATTAATACTTAGGGACCATGCGACATCTGTGTGACGTTGTTGTGTCAGGTAAATGCAATGCTCAAATGTATCAGAATAAATAGGGAAATACCAGTTTGCCACCAGGTATGAGCAATGTGGGACTGGACATTTACGGATTATTCTAACCACCACAGATTTGGTGCCTTTAAGGGGGTACCCTCCTAGGTTTTTAATAGGAAAAGCTGCCTGCAGTCCCCCAGGAATGACATAAAGATACAAGTGGTTGTTTCTAACTCCAGGCTTTTCTTATAATCTGCAGCTTATTTTACTCTTTTTGGCCCAGAATTTTGCTGCTCTTAGTCACACTGAGAAGTCACATACCCCTTGAGTAGCCCAAAAGGAGTACAATAGTGCTCACTATGAGTAACTGTAGTAGAATTCAGTCTTTTATGAAAACCCGAACTATGGGTCAGCTCCTGGAGTCCTTGTTCATCCTCTGTTCAGCCAGGAAAGATTGCTGTGGAAGTCGTCAGTTATTTTGTTCCAGTAAAACCAAATGGATTTAGTTGGTGGTATTTACCTAATGTGACTATTTTAAAGTTTGCATCTAGTTACTTGTTTGGGACAAATTCTGACCTATAAATCTGCTATAAATTGGAGGTAATTCCAATGAAGTGAAAGTAGTTTTCCACCTCTGGGTTACCAAACCCATATTGTGCAAATATGGTAAACATCACACAGTATGAGGATGGGATGCAGAGTCAGGCCCTCATAAACTCAAGTCAATATTCTCTAGCTAGTTTTTAGGCATTTATTTCATTCAGTCTAATCGCAGTCACTGCTGAACTTTTGGAAGTATTGAGAAGCAGGAGGAGCCCCAGGAAACTGCATGGAGCTGTGCTACTGCCATCCCCACTAGCAAAAGGATGTGTGTTTGTGCGATGCATGTGAATCAGAGAGGCAGCTCTGCTTATAAACAAGGCGATGAACCAAAATAGGTGGCCTAATATCTACAGCTTCTTCGCTTACTGCAGTAAAGACAAGGCTGTATGCAGGAATTGTTTTTAATGGGATCATTTAAAACATTTATTGTTGCTGTTTGGTTACTGTCTATAAAGAGTGGCTGCTTTGTCTGATGCCCAAAAACCATTGTGTAAGTTAGAAACATTTTGTATTCATGAGGAAGGCAAATGTGTAAGGTGTTAAAGTGATTTAGTTCAATTGACTGCTGGCTGGATGGCTGAGCAGGAATATTGAGGCATTTAACAATGTTGATGGTATTCAGGACAAACATTTATTCTCCAGAGAGTAGAATTTGATCAGGATGATCAAATGCGACTCACTCTTCTCAATTATTTATGAATTGCGACCCCAGTGCTATTCATCACAGCTGGGTTTTACACCATTTAATTATTCAAAATAATCAGCAACACATCTGTAAACTTGGTCTGGCTTTAAGCAGGCTTTGCTTCAGCTGTCGCAAAATCACTGCTATTAACAAATGTTGGACACCTTCCGCCTGTGTTTTAGCAAAGAAAACCAGTGCTCTAATAGCCCTATTTTTTCCCTTCCTCCTGGAGCTCCCTGCTGTGAGTGCCATGTCGTGGCAGCCAGTCAGAGAGATGGCTTTGGCCAATTAGTCCTGTTCTGGGGGGCGTGGAGTCCCCTCTGAAGGGAAGTTAAACTCCTCCAACTGCACTGCACATGCCAAATTCTGTCCTCCGTGCTGGCTTAAAATTTGGAGCATCTCCTTTGAAGTCAGTATAGCTACTCCAGATGTATTTCTCCGTAGCTGAGGTCTCGGCTTCCTAAAGAGTAAATGAAATCTCCTAGAGTAAGGAGAAGGAATAAGAACAAGACGTTCGCTATCTGGAATAAACTGTCCGGCTCCCTTTCATTGCTTATGTTCTGCCTTGCTGATGCCTCGTGGGCCTGATTTTCTTCCTTATGGTTCACAGTGATGGGACAGAAGAGTGAAACCCAGTTTTTTTCACAGACCCTGTAGGTAAAATGTTTCTCAAGCGCCTAAACTGACTCAAAGATCAGAATCCCAGTTTTGAAAGTGGTTGAGGGATAGAGGAGCCTGAGGTTACATTTATATAGCAGCTATCGGAAGTGGCTAGTGGTATAACTTCTCACGTCTGGTCAGATCCAGCCATGGTGTATGTGCTGGAATTGTATCTGCCAGCTAGAGTGAACACTTAGCTAATGTTTTATGGAGTAACAGTAGGATTCCAGCTGAAACAGAAAATCTGGTGTTACAGGGCTGCTAGCCTTGGGGGCACAGCCACATCATGCTAAGTGCAGGGTGGGTGCAAATTCATAATGCACATTCAGATTTGTTTCCAGTAGGTTAGCAGGTTGCCACTATGCCAGCAGACTTCATCTGGGACTAGATATTGTCTACCCACACCCCTCTAACTCTCTGCCATGGGCAACTGTTCCCGTTCTTGCATATAACAACATAAAAGCAGCATGAACTTCTCGTCATGAGGTCTTGCTGCTTTAGCAGAAATGGGATTGTGTGCTGATATCTGATCTAGATCACACGCTGAGGAATTGGGCAGTATGCATCAACAATGCACCTCCAACCCCTTCACGCCTGGGGAACTTCTGAAAAGAGGTATTAGGTTCTGCAGTCATATGGGCTTTTTACAAAAAATCTGCTTTTTACATCTAAAAGGAAGAGAGAAGAGGATGGCAAGGAGATGCTGAAAAAATGTGATCAATACTACAGAATAAATAAATCTTCCCAAAGATAGCCAGCGCATGAGATTTTTTTAAAGGAAAAAAGGATCAACAATCTCTTCAGAAATTTCTGTGGCAGGAGGTTTTATGGTGGAACCTGCGAAAGGAAAGACTAAGCTAGGCACACACATACTCTGCCTGATGTAGAAGGTAAACATTCTCCATTCATTTGTTGCTAGTTTTTGGTGTAAGTCTCCTGTGGTTTTGGCAGCATGTTGTGGGGTTGTATTGAGTTGGTTTTTACATGAAGAAGATTCCTTTGAAAGTAAATTGTGTGAATACTCCCTCCTCCTTTTAAAATGAGCTCTAATTACAGCTAAATATTTTGTGAATGTGCTTAGGAAGCGTTTTATGTGCAGAGGAAAAAAGGACTTTGAACTCACAAGTCTTTCCATGGAAAGTACATCCAAAATGAATCCTTATTCCCTTTGGGTAATCATAGTGCAAGTAGCCAGCTTTATTGTCTGGTGGTAGCTGGGCTTTCTTGTATATACAGAATTGTTAAGATTTCCTTTGAGTCCTATGAATTTTCAATATAAGGCCCAATTTAATACTGAACAACAAATAGCTTTTTAAAATAAAGTCCATGATCCTGCATCGCCAGTGCTGGTCTCTGATGTAACTCTTTGTATTCCACCTTGGAATTTGTTCAACCTAATACTGAAAAAAGTTCAAGGAGGTTTTTCGGCTTGCTCTCGGGCAGCTCCAGCATCCTTTTGCTACGGCATACAGGGTGAGGTACCACATTTTTACAGGGCAGCACTGGGGCAGGGTTTGGTGGCAAGACTGAACAGAGATTGAGAGGCTTCCTGAGCCAGAGATTATATCTACTTCTTGTCTAGCCAGAGATTTTCTTGGCTTCATTATGTTTAATAGACTTTGATAGATCTTTCTTCCACAAATTTCTAATTGCCTCTTGAACCTTTTTAGACTTCTGCTGCCCAAAGCATCCCATGGCAATGAATTCTACAATTTGTTCCACAAGAACGGACTTCCTTTTGCTTTTAACTCATGCCTAATAACTTCTCTTGGTGCCTCGTAGTTTTTGCGTTACAAAGTACATCCCTGATCTTAATCCCTGACTTAAATGCCTCACATGATTCTGTCTGCCTCCCTCATATTCCCACTTCATCATCTGTTTTCAAATCTGAAGAAGTCTAAACTATTTAATTTGTTTGTCTGAGGAAGCCATTCTAGACTTCTGATGACTTGTTCTCTCCGAACCTTTTTTCCTTCCTTTACCATATCCTTTTCGAGATGGGAAGGCCAAAACTGTGCACAGTATTTAATGAGTGGGTTTACTGCAGAGTTCTGCGGAAGCACAGTGATGTTTTTTGTTTGGTTTTCTATTACTTTCCTCCTTCCTAACATACTATTTGTTTTTTAACAACTACTGAGCACTCAGCTGACACCTCCAGAAAACTATCAGCTGTGACCCCAAGGTCTCATCACTGAATGGCAATAGCAAATTGGGAACCTGTCAGTATGTATGTATAGTTAGGGTTGTTTTTCTAAAGTACATCACTTTGCATTTATCAACATTGAATTTCATTTGCCATTTTATCACTCAGTCATTCAGTATTGCGAGATCGTTCTGCTTCCCTTTACAAACAGCTTTTGTTCTAATTATCCTGAATAATTTTTTATCATAAACACACTTTGTCTCTTCTGCAGTCCATTTCTGAATAGATTAGGTCCCCGTAAGGTCCCACTGGTGAAATCTGAACACTGACAATTCCTGCGCTGAGTCCCACCTCTAAATTGTTGGTATACAAGGTGAGGTTTCCTTTTGCTCCAAGACAGATCAGTTTTTAAAGTAATGTTTTCTGAGAGGCATTTCACAAACATTTTGGAAATCCAAATATGCTATTCTCTTCCAGACTGTTCTTACCTACTGACTTCTTCGGGGACCTCTCCACAGTGTGTTAGAGGCGTTCACTAGCTCTGCTATTTATTACAGCGTCTAGCAGTTTGCCCCACAGAGAAGTCGGATTTAATGGGCTGTAGTGCCTGAAAACCCTTCTGGATGTCATTTTAAAAACTGATGTCACATTTGTCATCTTTATTCCCCTGATAGCTTGACTATATAGGGCATGTGCCCTCCGAATTCTTGTCTCAAAAAGAGTGTGAAGTGCCACCTCCCACGGTAAAGCTTTTCACTCCCTCTCCCTGGCCGGTTACTGGAATAATACAGTAAGTTTTTGGAGTAGTTGTGTCCTTTTGCTCTAAAAAAGGAAC